GTTTAATCTGGGGGTGGGTGGATTATTATCCACCACGGGACAATTTTTATCTTTTTCGTCTGTATTGTCTTATTATGGATTCCTTCTTTGAACTGCTCCTCAGGCTCTAAAACCTTCCAGAAGCTCCTGAGAACAGAATTTGGCTTTTGGTCAATTTTTTCTTTGGGAACTTGGGCTCGACACAGCTCTTGCCACGTTTACCTTCGGGTGACCCACACGGACCTCTTCTCCTGCCTCCTCCAGGTTGCTCTACTATTTTATGGACATACTTTACGTGCTAGTTTAAGTCACTTAGCTCTGTCAGAACCTTTTCTATTTCATGAAGATCCTGCCCACTAAGGGACTCAGCAAAGCTCTAAAGCTCCATACCAACCCCGAGGTTCCTGCTGAATCAAGTCCTTCTTTAAATCTTTGGTGAATGCAGTCCTATCTGGTCCAGTGAACTGGACACCATGCATTGGTTCCCTCAGTACTGCCTGTCTGTCCACTATGGTCCTCCACCCCGCTATCCATGGGAAGCTCCACTGGTTATGAGAAGAACCTCTAATGGCTCCCACAAGTCATTTCATCAGGGACTGATTCCCCCTGTACTGCCTCAGGTTATGCAGCCTGTGTCTCAACGAGAAATGGGTGGTTATATTGCCCAGCTTTCTGCTTCTGCAGCACTTAAACTAATTCCACCTGCCCCTATGTCCCACATCCTCACAAGACAGGTGGAGGGGCTTCTTCATTCTTGTTTGGAAGTCTTCCCCAGTTCCTACAGCTCCAGTGTGGAGTGTTCTGATTGCCATAGTCTCTCACACCAGACCATTGTTAGGCCTCCATCACCCCGCTGAAACACGGATTTCCCCTTTCTTTGTAGTAAAGGTCAAACACAAGGGGCATCTTCAGCTGTTTGGGGGTTCCAGGTTTGGGGGCCCCAGGATGAGCCTCGTATTATTGATCTAATCTGGGTCCTCTTCCTTTTTTAGCCTCCTAGCTACAAAGAAACAGCAGGCTAATACCTCCATTTCTTTTTCTCTTTTATTTACTGGCTGGGTCAGAGGCTAGTACTGAAGAGGCCAGCCTCATATTCCTCTCTGGCCGCAATTTCTCCCCTACATCCTCTTCAGGTTTCCTCCAGGCTATGGTGTCTGCCTAGGTCCGATCCCTTATGACCCAGGAGCAGTCAGGCTGTCCTGCAGCTGCTTGCTGACACCTTTGCTTCTGGGGTGCTCCTCCAGGTTTGTAAAGTCTGCTCTAGACCTTCGGCTGTCCTCAGAGCATCTCCACGCTCCCGTGGTGAGCCCACAGGTCAAGCAGGCAAGCCCCTCCGTACCAAGTACGAGAGGACTATCATCCAGGGATTTCCCCCGTGTGGCCTCACCCTAGTTCCACATCTCACCACGCACTGCACTACCCGTGCCCCGGCCACTACCCTGCCATCCCTATGGAGAGAGCCCTCATGTGAACGTTTCCCCTGCCGACTCTCCCTCACCAGCTTCCCTTCGATTGTTAGTGTCCTTCCCCAAATCAGAGACCACACTCTTCCCAAACTCACTTCAGTTTCAGGTACCCTTGTTTACAACACCCAGTGTAGCTAAAATTCCTTCTGGGAGATGTAAACAAAGTCCACCCCCTCCTGCCTTGACCACTACAACAAAACCAGCTATGAATTTGCCCAACTACAGTCTGGGAAGTGAGTGAGTTTATTGGGCTTACATACAGAGCAAGTAAATAAGGTGAGGGTTTACTTACAGGAATGTGGGTGCTTCCCTCCTAAGGCCACACTGCAAAGTCCTCATCCAAGCGTGCATGACAATTTCCCCATAGCCACACAAAGTGATGAGAGACCTTCTCCAAGGCTTCCTCGGCTTATACACACACCCCTAGCTCCTCCCCCGTGCAACTAGGGCCAGCTTGTTGCTTGGGACGTCTGACCACTCTCCCTGCCCTGTCTTCCTTAAGGAGCATAACAGTCAAGAAACTTAGCTGTGATGATTTTAGGCACTCAGGTGAACCAAGCTTGGGAAGATGGCATCTGTCCACGGTCTGCCTGTCAGAGGACAGTCCTATGCAGCAGACCTACCAGATGAAGCTAATTCAGTCCACACATACTGTTGTGCAGAATTTTGGAAACACATAATTAAAAACATCATCTAAATTTCATTTCGTTTCTTTCTCGCCCATGTGGTATTTCATCTGTTGCATGGATTTCCTGGTTGTATTTTAATTATCATTTTAAGCTTTATTTTATTGTGGGTAGAGAAAGTTCTATGATAGATTTTAGAGCTCTGAGGTTTACTGGATGTATTTGTTTTTAATAATCTTGCACGTGCTCAGATCTACAGAATGTTTAGACTATGGGTGAAAAGAAATTCCTATGCTTCAGTTACTTAGGACAGTTTGTGGAAATAAATTAAGTCTATTTTGTTAAAACATTGTTCAAGCAGTCAATATCCTTACTAAGTCTGGGGTATTTTCAGTTTATCTGGTGGTCTGTGCTAGGTCCACTTGGAGAAGCGGGTCTCTGTTTGCAGGACATTATTTTGTTAAGGCCTGAGACTGGACTTAGAATCACTATGAAAACACACTTTTACTGGTCTGTGGTCTGTGCGGTATTTCCAGATGGGTTTAACTTAGATGGAAGTCCCCCTCCACTCACGTTGGTGGCTCAGTCCTGTATGATTGTCTGTTCCACAGAATGCTTAGAATCTGATAAACCACCTGAATTTCTGATCAACCTGCACTTTGTTTCCTTTTTCATATATTGGTGAAATGAAATGAATTTAATGTTTTTAATAGGCAGAAGCTAAAAGCGCCTGCACACCGCAGGACTGGAGCAGGTCTACAGGTTTGGACTCCCTGCTCGGTGTGATCTAAGCTTCCACCTTCTCCGACTTATCTAGAGGAGCCAGCTCTCACGGTGGGTGAGGATCTGCAGCTGGCAGGTGTCAGTGATTTCCTGAGCTGATCTTGAGGGATGTGCCTTGGAAGTCCCTACAAAATGACCTACAGAGAACACAAACGCGGAAAAATTACCTCATCACTTTACACAAGAATGTTTGTGTCTCCACACTAGTCGATGTGCAGAAAATAAAAGATGTCAAGTGATCAGCACAAAATAGGGCATCTGTATCACACCCTCTTCCCCCAAGGCTCAGGGAGCATTGCAGAAAAGGGGGCAGAGAGACGGTAAGAGCTAGAGGTGGTGGATGACCACAAGGAAACATCCTTATCTGGACACAACAGGGCAGGGGCACATAGGAACTCAGCGGTTGTGACAGTATGCACAAGCCAGACAAATTCCCACCATGGAGGGGGGAGGTGGTCAGGAAATTCCACCCCTAGCTGAGGAGATATTGGCATCTGATGACTTCTGTGAGAGGGAAAGTCAGCTCTCAGGGGACTTGAGAAGCTACCCGTGCTCCAGGAGATGACCCATGCACACAGAGACAGCACTGAGTGGATTCAGTGAGTTAAAAACACAGCAGAGCACATGTAGTTGGGCAGACAGAGCAGTGCGGGGAGGAGGAAGAATTGTAGGGTGGGAACAAGAGGTGGATCTGACCAAAACACATATGAATGGATGGAATTCTCAAAGTATTAGAAGAAAAGAGTATACGTGTCAAAATTAATCACTATTTGAAATAAAAAATTAATGATTTGAAATTAATCACTATTTTTATCATTGAGTGACTTTGGCTCTCAAGATTTAGGTCCATAAATTAAGAGGACCTTTCCTGAACACCTGTGTAATCACTTC